ACAATCACTAGTCAACTGTATGGTGTCGTGGTTTAAACCCAGTCAGGTAATTCGTTCGCTCACTTCCCCCCCCTTTCTTGCCCTCCCCCTGCTCTCGGTGGGATGGAGAGGAGAATCAAAAGAATGCAACTCCCACTGGTTGAGATAAGAACAGTTTAGTAACTAAGGTATAACACAAATCACTACTGCTGCCACCAATGATAATAATGATAAAGGAAATAACAAGGGAAGAGAATACAACACCTCACCACCCGCTGACTGATAACTCGCCCCCCAAGCCCGACCAAGCTCCGACCGATACCTCCTCCAACCCTGCAGTCTCCCAGCCCTTCCGGCTAACTCCCAGTTACCTCCTGGGCATGACGTGCTGTGGTATGGAATAGCTCTTTGGTCAGTTTGGGTCAGGTGTCCTGTCTCTGCTTCCTCCTGGCTTCCCCTCCTCCCTGGCAGAGCATGAGGCTCACAAAGTCCTTGGCCAAACCAAAACATCTCTATCAGCTCTGTTCCCGAGCCGAAAGTCAAAACACTGCACTGCACCAGCTACCAAGGAGGAGAAACATGACTGCTACTGCTGAACCCAGGACATTATCCACCCCTTATTCCATACCATTCACGTCATGCTCAGATCCCACATTTTCAATATACCATCACTCTTATCTCGGTGCACTCTTATCTTAGTGCATGGACCAGTCCCTATAAAGCTGCTGCGTCCATCTGGTCCATGTCAGGCTCCATCTCTTGTAACAGTCTTCCAGAGCAGGAGAGACTGTGTGCAGTGTTCACACTCGTGAATAACCTGGGCAATAGTGTCCATTGTTAAGTCCACCTCTCGATCATGAGTCCATCTCTGTGTTGCATCTCTGCTCTGATGGCCTGAAGTGCCATGGGCCCACCAGACTTAAAATAATTCACTGTCCCCTTCAGCAGTTTCTGCAGCTTGTTGCTGGGAACTCCATACAGCTGCCTTCCATCTCCGATGCTTCCAAAGCACTGGAGGGGCCCAGTGGACTAGATACTTGCCCATACTGTCACACACACCCTGCCACTCCTGGCTGTCCAGCCTTGGGGAAAACCTCTTGGTCCCCCTGTATTGTCGTCTAACCCCAGACAAGACCCAAACCCGACTCTGCTTAACTTTTGAGATCAGACAAAATGGTTGTGGGTAGAACACAGTGTGTGTGTGTGCCAACATGCTGATCCCCATCACAATCAGCAGGCAGGTCCCAAGGGTACCCAAAGGCCTTTCAAAACCTTCAGAACTCTCAGTTGATGCTGCTGTACTTGTCACTGGGGCTGGTGTAGCTGCTGTGCTTGCCGGCTCTCCCACCGCCAGCTTCTCTTTTCCTGAGTCCGGCTCTTCCTCCTCTGCCTTGCTGGGAAATGCTGCGTGGTCTCCTGCATCCTCCTGGGGCTCGGCGGGCGGCTGCCGGGGAATGCTCTCAGCCGTCGCGGGGCTGGGCTCCTCCGCGGGGCTCGGCTCCTCCGAGGAGCTCGGCTCTTCCGCGGGGCTCGGCTCCTCCGCCGCCCCGGCCTCCTCCACCGGCAGCCGTCCCCTCGCGGCCTCCGGCCCCGCTCCCGCCGCCGCTTGGTCCCCGGGGCCGCTCTCCCGGGCCGCTTCAGCAGCCGCCGGCTCCCGGGGCCGCTCCCCCTCAGTTCCCCGAAGCCTCACGAAGATGGAGAGTAGGGTGAGGGCCAGGACGGTGAAGAGCAGCCGGACGGCCAGGTACAAGTCCTCGGCCACGTCCGTCCCGCCCTGCTGCTGGAGCCCGCCCGTATTACAAGCCATTGCCCTAAAGCACAGTGAGACAAGAACCTTAGCCCAGGCCCCACACTTGATAAACACTATCACAGCAAATACCGGCTCTACGTAAGTTACAACGGTCTGAAGCTGTGAGATCAAGAAGAACAACTCTGATACCCAATAAATCAGCATTGTGACGAATGACTATTAATCCAGTCAAATCTGTCGTTATCTCAACCCTTCGTGCCCCACGTTGGGCGCCAAAAAGAACTGTCGTGGTTTAAACCCAGTCAGGTAATTCGTTCGCTCACTTCCCCCCCTTTCTTGCCCTCCCCCTGCTCTCGGAGGGATGGAGAGGAGAATCAAAAGAATGCAACTCCCACGGGTTGAGATAAGAACAGTTTAGTAACTAAGGGATAACACAAATCACTACTGCTGCCACCAATGATAATAATGATAAAGGAAATAACAAGGGAAGAGAATACAACACCTCACCGCCCGCTGACTGATAACTCGCCCCCCAAGCCCGACCAAGTTCCAACCGATACCTCCTCCAACCCTGCAGTCCCCCAGCCCTTCTGGCTAACTCCCAGTTACCTCCTGGGCATGACGTGCTGTGGTATGGAATACCTCTTTGGTCAGTTTGGGTCAGGTGTCCTGTCTCTGCTTCCTCCTGGCTTACCCTCCTCCCTGGCAGAGCATGAGGCTCACAAAGTCCTTGGCCAAACCAAAACATCTCTATCAGCTCTGTTCCCGAGCCGAAAGTCAAAACACTGCACTGCACCAGCTACCAAGGAGGAGAAACATGACTGCTACTGCTGAACCCAGGACATATGGAAATAAATGCATGTGATGGAAAGGACTCCCCATGACCAGCGCAAACCATCCACACAGAGAGGATGCTTTGTTGTGCTTGTTTTCAGTTCCCTTCAATGCAATATTAGATGATCTCTGTGGATGTAAAGGGCTTCCTCAGGAAACACTGAAAGGAAGAGGTGTGTGATAGATGGGGAAATACAAAGCAAACTGTCCTGGGCCTATCTTCCTGGGTAGGTCTCTGCAGGAGAACTGCTCTTGGAGGTGTTGATGCAGCCAGAAGGAGTTTGGGGAGAGGAATTGAGAGGTTGTTTTGCTGATCAAGTCAAACTAATTATCCGATGGAGGAGGGTCCTTTGGGAGAACAGTTTGCACAACACAAGCCTCTGAGGTAATGCCTCCTGTGATATAAAACCGTTCCACCAGCCAGCCTGGAGCATCCTGCTCCCAAGCATCTCTCCTTCAACCCATCGCATGGTCTCCAGGAGGAGCTGCAGGCACTGCATCCACCACTACCTTCCTCTTTAACCAAGCAGGTACAAAAGGGTTTGATGGGTGATGTGTCCAGTTTGACTCTGGTCATGCTGCCTCTCACATGCTTGATGGCATGTTAAATTTCACTCTTTTCCAGGGACTGTATTGATAGGGCAAGGTGTGATGGGTTTAAACTGAAACAGGGAAATTCAGGTTGGAGATAAGGAAGAAGTTCTTCCCTGTGAGGGTGCTGAGGCGCTAGCACAGGGTGTCCAGAGAAGCTGTGGCTGCCCCACCCCTGGCAGTGTTCAAGGCCAGGTTGGACGGACACAGGGGCTTGGAGCAAGCTTCTCTAGTGGAAGGGGTCCCTGCCAATGGCAGTGGGTTGGAGCTGGGTGAGCTTTAATTTCCCTTCAACCCAAACCGTTCTATGATAGCCCACGGTGTGAATAGAAGTGCCCCTAGTATGGGGTTTGCTTCAAAAATACCAACCTTCATGACCCCATCTACAACTGATTTAGAGATATTTTAGCATGAGAATATCCAAGGTAAAGCCTTAAAGTTTTGGTTTATATATGGTATATTTTGTATTGTATACCCTTAGGTGGATATTTGGTTTGGTCATAGGAAGCTCACTGCAATCACAGCAAAGCTCTGCTAGAGCCAAGAACTCTGCATTCCCTTAACCTTATGCAGTGTGGGGGTTCTCGGCAGGAGGTTGGGACTGGATGACTTTTAAGGTCCCTTCGACCCAAAGCATTCTATGATAGTCTGTGGTGTGAATAATAGTGCCCTAATACAGGGTGGGTTTGGTTGAAAAAACCCATGTTCCTCACCCCAACTACAACAGATTTAGGGGTATTTTTGCAGTGATGTAGCCGTTCATAGATTGATATTCCATTAAATAATTCATCTGCAGAGGAATTGAATGGCGGAGATGAAAATATCCAAGCTAAAGCCTTAAAATTTTGGTTTATGTATGATATATTTTACACCCTTAGGTGCATATTTAGGTTGGTCATAGGCAGCTCACTGCAATGACAGCAAAGCTCTGCTGGAGCCAAGACCACTGCTTTCCCTTAATATTATGGATGGTGGGGGTTCTTCAAAAGCCAATAAACTTAGAATGTAAACCAAATTTCAAGTACATGGCTTTGTGTTGTGATGAAAATGATGCAGCAACAGCAATGAAGCTACAGAAGAGTACTAATCCACTGTGAAAAACACAAAAAAGAGAGAAAAAAACTTTAAAATTCCCAGAAATCAGTGAAGAAAATACAAAATCTTTTCTGTTTTCCACATTTTGAGATGTATTTATTTGATTTTATTGTATTATACTTTGATAGACGTGATGTTTCTCAGTGTATCAGTTGTGCAGTGTATACCAATCATGGTAGAATTATTCTCTTTTAATTTCAGGTTGCGTAATGAGCTCCTTCACCTCTTTGACTTCAGATCTTGGGCTACACACAGAAGTAAAGCATTACAAATACACCATTTTCTATTGCATTTACTTTATGGATTAAACTTCAACTAAATTTCCACATTATTTCTCTTCTAAAGGTTTATTTCACTGATTGCTTTCATTTAAATCTAAATCCATCAACTTGTTGAAATGACGGATACAGGAAACCTCACTGTTCTATCCGGCTTCGTCCTCTTGGGTTTTTCTGATGCCCCAGGGCTACAAACTACCATCTTCACAATCTTCTTGTCCCTGTATGTTTTAATAGTTCTGGGGAACCTGACGATGATCCTGTTGATCAACACTGACCCCCACCTCCACATCCCCATGTACTTCTTCCTGAGCCACTTATCTTGCATGGATGTTTGCCTTTCCTCCGCTATCATCCCAAAAGCTCTGGAGACCTTCCTGCTGGGGAGAAGCCACATCTCCTTTTGGGGTTGCTTTGCTCAGATGTATATTTTCATGGCTCTGGCTATCTGTGAGAGCTTTCTCTATGGGGTAATGGCTTATGACCGATACATGGCTGTGTGCAAGCCCCTGCTCTACACCACTACCATGACCAGGGTCCGTTGCTATGGCATAATGGTGCTGGTGTACAGCATCGGGTTCCTCACCTCCCTGGTGCACATCATGCTGGCGGGGAGGTTGTCCTTCTGTCAGGCCAGGAGCATCAACCACTTCTGCTGTGAGCTGCCCACCCTCCTGCAGCTCTCCTGCTCAGACACAAGCACAAATGAGGTCTTCCAGGTATACAACGCTGTGTTTAATGCCATGGGCCCTCTCCTGATGATCCTGGTGTCCTACACCTACATCCTCCACACCGTCTTGCAGATCCCTTTGGCCACGAGGAGGCTGAAGGTCTTCTCTACTTGCACCTCCCACTTGGCTGCCATCATCATCTTCTACGCACCCGCGATCCTCACCTATGTCCAGCCTCATGAAGCATCCTCATGGGATCAGGCAAAGCTGGTGTCGGTGTGTTACTGCATCCTCACCCCAGCCCTCAACCCCCTCATCTACAGCTTGAGGAACAAGGAGGTGAAGGGGGCTCTGAGGAGGCTGTGGGAGAGAAAGCTGCTGCCACATCTATGCAGGGTTTGAAAGCACATTTGGAGCTCTTCAGTACTGTGGAGGTAAGGAAGAAACATGTGGTCATGGAATTGATAATTACTGGCCATTATTTGTCATTATTGGTCCCTATTGGTCATTATTACAGTTAAGGAGATCACAAAGCAAGTGCAGGGTATGGAGAACCTGCATAACAAATGGTTCTCTTCAAAGAGCCTCAGGTGGTTTTAAGTGTGGCCTGAGCATTCAATATTTCATCCGAATAAGTATCAGCTCCTCAATAGCAGCCCTGAGACAGCACCATGGTGTTTTGTGTCTGTATTGTGCTAAATGAAAGTAGAGCCCACAAAAAGGAGGCTCAGACTTCACATAAGGCACTGACCACTGTCTCCATTGCCTGCTTGATAAGCATTTCCTCAATGATGAACTGCGGGAAGGTCAAGAGGATTTGATAGAGCTCTGGTGTCTGCAACACAAGGAGGTCACAGAGCTGCTGAAGCAAGTACAGGGGAGGCAACAAGGATGGTCTGGGGCTGGAGCACCTCCCGTATGGAGCCAGGCTGATAATATTGGGTCTGTTCATCCTGGAGAAGAGAAGCTGTGTGGAGACCTCAGAGAAGCTTCCAGTACCTAAAGGGGCTACAAGAAGCCTGGGGAGGAGCTTTGGACAAGGGCCTGTAGGGACAGGCCAAGGGGAATGGCTTGAACCTGCCCAAGGGGAGACTGAGATGAGCTCTTAGGCCGAAGCTCTTCCCTCTGAGGGTGCTGAGGTGCTGGCACAGGGTGCCCAGAGAAGCTGTGGCTGCCCCATCCCTGGCAGTGTTCAAGGGCAGGTTGGACACAGGGCTTGGAGCAAGCTGCTCTAGTGGAAGGTGTCCCTCCCCGTTGGAGGTGGATTGGATCTGGATGAGCTTTAAAGACCCTTCCAACAGAAACCAGGCTGGGATTCTGTGAAATAAATTTCTGACAGTCTGTTGGTCAACAAAGCCCTTGTACTAAATGGGGATGAGTCATATCTGAGCCTCTGCTCTGCTGTGGATTTAAGTAGGGGTACAATGAGCCTTAGTGCTGGTAGGAGAGAGGATCTGGGGTCTTCCTCACCCCTGAACAGCCAAGGTGCTGCTGGCCTGGGTCCCCTGATGAAGCTGATGGAGCAAGTGCAATAACCAGCTGACTGTATCTGGAACTTCAAGCTGCATTATTCACCCTGCACAAGTGCACCCAGGTATTCTTGGTGGCTTTTTTTGCCTTCATGTAGTTCTTTTCAATAATCTTTGAATTACATATTTTTCTTATTTCCAAAATTGATTGAGGGTTATTTCTCCCTCTGTTATATTGATCTTCCCACATCTCAAGCCTTGGTTTTAGCCCAGTACCCAATGGGGAAGAAAGACATTCAAAACCACTCAGAAATCCTTTTCTACGCTCCTCCAGTGCATCTCATGGACTGTCACAGTCTGGTGCCTTCCAGCAGGAAAACAGATTGACATTGAAAACTGGGTTTAAACCCAGGCACACAGTCTCTCTCCCACACACATACACACCTCACACACCCCCCCCCTTGCCCTCCTCCTGCTCTCAGAGGGATGGGGAAGAAAATCAGAAAAATGGAACTCCCACTGGTTGAGATAAGAATGGTTTAGTAACTAAGGTATAACACAAAACACCACCAATAATAATAAAGGAAAGAACAAGGGAAGAGAATACAAAACCTCATCACCCACTGACTGATAACTCCTCCACCCCCCCAGCCCAACCATGCACCAACCAATTCCTCGTCCAATCCCGCAGTCCCAGCCCTTCCAGGTAACTCTCAGTTACCTCCTGGGCATGACGTGCTGTGGTATGGAATACCCCTTTGGTCAGTTTGGGTCAGGTGTCCTGTCTCTGCTTCCTCCCGGTTTCCCCTCCTCCCTAGCAGAGCATGAGGCTCACAAAGTCCTTGGTCAGTCTAAACATGTGAGCAGTAACTAAAAACGTCAGTGCTATCAGTGCTGTTCCCAGGCCGAAAGAACTCACAGGTAAGAGTGAGGAATTTTATTGGAGGTGAGGGACAAGGTCACGAATCTTGCAAGGAAAACAAATATTTATCAGTGACGAAACCTGTAACTGAATAAAGCTGATTGGTGTTTCCTGTGAGGAAAAGAGGCCTGGTATAATTGAAGGTAATCTCTTCCCACAGGCTGGTGACTGTGAAGTGAAATGAAGTTTGAGGTTCCTTTCCTTTTAGTTTCTTTCCAAGGAAGATGTGATTTGTGGTGTGTATTTCTCATTCAATACTGTCATTGACTCATGTGCAGGAATTGTGGATGAACCTATATAAAATGATGAGGATCAGTGGAAAATCCCATTGTTTTAGTGTCCCAAAGTCTCTCACTTAAGATGAACTTGGTGTACTAGGTGATACAACTCTTTTATGTTGCCATCTGCTGAGCAATCTCCTCTCACACTTGACCAGAGCTGCCTTCACCTCCTTGTTCCTCGGGCTGTAGATGAATGGGTTGAGCATGGAGGTGAGCAAAGCATAGAAGATGGAGGCCACCTTGTCCAGGCTCCTGTGGCTAGAAGGAGGTTGTAGGTACATGAAGAATGATGTCCCCAAAAATAAGGCAACAGCCGTCAAATGGGAAGAACAGCTGTGGAAGGCTCTGGCCCTGCTCTGTGCTGAGCACACCCTCAGCACAGTGCGGATGATAGAGGTGTAGGAGAGCAAAATGACCACGCTCATTACCACATTGGTGGTGAGAAAGGCAAAGGTGACCATCTCGCTGTTGTATTTATTAGGGCAGAGGAGTTTAAGCACAGGTACGATGTCACAGAAGAAACGGTCAATGTGTTTGGGTCCACAGAAGGAACCTCCAAACGTGCACCATGTGTAGATGATGGCACTGAGGAAGGCAAATAGGTAGGACGATGCTACCAGCTGCCAGCAGATGCGGCTGGAGATGATGGTCACATAATGCAGGGGTTGGCAGATAGCAACGTGTTGGTCGTAGGCCATCATGGCCAGGCGATGACACTCAATAGTAGCAAAGAAAGCAAAGGTGAGGAACTGCATCATGCAGCCAGTGAAAGAAATTCACATTTGGACCATATCTTATCTCAATCAATAACCATTGTAACTGCTACTTTTTAGAATATTCTACTACATTTTCTAACCCAAATTATGTATACTTTATTTTTTTTCAGTTGAGGTATTTAGAAATGAACAGCAAGAGCATTGAAGCAACAGGTGGCATGTATTTTTTTGAAGATGTGACACTTAAAAGTATGGATTTAATACTTGTTAGCGGCGAGGAGAAGCAAGACACGCCAACCCAATATGGGTGATAAGCAAGCTTCTACTTTATTTGTGGTGCACTTGGCTTATATCTGCGTGGCGTTTAGCCACGCCTCCTAGTCACAACAGTATTGGTTAGTTCTACACAGCTTCCTCCACATTCTCCTCCCACATCCGGTTTCCGGTTACCTGTGAGGCCTACACCTTGCTTTGCTTGCACAAGGCCTCTAAGGATCCATGGCCTTCTCTTGCAGCCATTCTGCAACAATTCCACCCTTTTTCTTTTCTGCGAGCAAGACATTGTGGGTCGTTCTGTTCACCTGTTTCATCACGCAACTATAAGCAAGTCTAACAACTACAATGATTGAAATAACAATGATACATAAATGCAGTCCTTCGAATAGCAGTGTTTTAAGTCAACCTGTAATGCCCCATGAGGACAACCATTTAGTTATCCCTAGGTCATTGCTCACTTGCAATTGCTGGGTAAGCTGAGCCAGGGTTTTCAGCTGTGCGTGTATCGAATTAAAATGATCAGAAAGATTCATACAATACATTCCATCAAACTCCTCACATCCATGTCCCTGTGCCAACAACAAAAAGTCTATAGCGGCTCTGTTCTGCAGCGTTGCATGTCTCACAGAATCAACATCAAAGAACAAATCAGAAATTGCCTTCGAGGTAGTATTTGTCTGCTTAGCAAGTCAGCAACCCAGTCTGTTTAATTGAACCAAGGCCCTGGCCGAAGCCACACCTGGCGCGAGAAAAGAAGTTGCTATAATAGTGTCAGGTAACCAAAACTTTACATCAGATCTACAGTTGGCAGTAAAACTATGTACAAAGTGTTTTAAGCGCCTTAAATGGTGCTGTCAAGACATATCAGGAATTATTGAAGTGTTGGGGTCCAACAGTGTCAGTCTTCCAATAGAACAAGGTCCCCCTTTCATTTTAGAGGGAATAACAGGCCAGGCTCGATCGCCACAAATCAGGAACATTCCACTGGGCAACTTCAGGGGATGATCGGTAGAGCGGGAAGTGTTGCGGGAAGCATACCTGCACCACACGCTGGCGTTCCTGTAAACTAAAGGACTAGAATTTACATTTGTCGCGGTACCATTCACCTTGGCTTGGGCGCTTGTCCAACTAAGTGTCACACAGGCATCCGTTCGCACGGCCCCTAATAATTCTAACTCCTGAGGCTCATTTGGGGCAATAGGCAAATAGGGTACCCAAGCGTCCCAACTGTCTGTTGTGCTGTTGAGGTTGGCAGTGCTACACACGGTATGGTGGACGGGCAGGGCCACTCATCTATAGGAACACCAACCAAACAGGTTGAAAACGGGTTGCCAGGGGAAGATAAGGCGAGGCAAATGGTGTTCTGCCCCCTAAGCTTAACCATTGTCTCCCACCCGTTGGTCTTGGGCTGCGGAGGCAGATAACTGGCCGTTTCCGGAGTCTTCATTACTATCAGGAAGAGCAGGGGAAGATAAAGACACTGTTTTAGTCCACTTTGCGGGGACCCATTGTGTACCTGTGGACGTGAGCACACACATATAACCTCGCCCCATGTACTTCACTTCTGCTGGGCCCCGCCAGAGGCCCGTGCTTGGATCACGGTACGTGACCATCATGGGTGCCTTAGACTCAAGACACCGCAACTCGGCCATGCACTTGAGCAGGGGGAGAGTCCTGGTCTGCAAAAATG